TGTTCTTTTCTTAACGAACGACTCAAACACGAACTGTTCGCGAACGACGAGCTAGTTTGACATTCCTAATATTAATATATAAAAATAATATATTATATTAATTATATAACTTATATTATATAAATATATAATATCTATATTAGTATATTACTAGTATAGTATATTAATAAAATATTATTATTAATTTATTATATATTATAAATTATAAATTTTAATTTTTTAGAATATCATAAATTTTTTATATTTCGAACAATAACGATTCGAGCACGAACGAACGCATCATTGTTCGTGTTTGGTTCGTTTAACTAACCTAACGAAAAAAATATTCACGTTCATCTCGGTTACTTATCGAACGAATCTAACACGAACTGTTCGAGAACAACGAGTTTTTTTTACAGCCCTAGCTACAGAGAAATGGACAAACTTTTCAAAATTTTACTATGAATTTCAAATAAATTTGTGTTTTTTTTTTATTTTTTAATACATCTATCTTTTTGAATTTGTAAATTTTGTCCGAAGAAGAAGAAAAAAATTGTTAATTTTTTAATATTGAACTTAAGTCGAACTTATATTTTGTCTTTAGTTGTTTCCTCTAATGCTTTTACATGCATATGTTAATATAAGTCAAGTAAACTATGATGATGTTCAGTCAACTACTAACTCTTGTATAAAATTTGGTTATGTGTTTCAAGAAAATCATTTTTTTTTTAAATAAAGCTTTATGAATGTCTTTCCTCTAGTTAAGTAGAAGTAAAAAAAATTTCTCTTTACTGTTTAGAATGTATTATTTATGAATTGTCATGATTAAAGAAGTCCATAATAAAATGATTTTTGTAAGGTTTGTGGGTAGGCCCGGCATGGCTCGACATTTTCTGTTGGCGGGCTTGTCTATGAGTTTTTAAATATAAATCGGGCTCAAGCCCGGCCCAAGCTCGCTTTGACTAGTCAAAGCCCAAACAATTCCGACTCATGCCAAGCTCGGACCGCCCAACGCCCAGATCTCAACGAAACCTTAAATTTGAGATTTTGTTATATACATAGTAAATTTTAATATTTTTTT